CTCTAGGCACCCCCATTTGCATACGAAATAATCACCGGCCGACACTGTAAAGCTGGCGGGCATTTTCTGGAAGACGGAGCCGGCTCGTACTGCTGGCGTGCGCCCTTCATCACCACAGCTCCATGACACCATACACAACCACAGCCGCGTCCGGCATTTGACGCCCGCAATTCTGCTTCTCCTCAGGCCACATTCCGCGGGTACGTCTCTCATTGCCGGCGACTTTCAGGATTGATGTTTTTTATGTCGCTCCTACGAAGCCCTCGGCACCATGCTGACAGTCGGCCAGACTTTCTCAGGCTGTCGCGCGCCGGCATCGACGACTCGATCGGCCAGAACCTCAACGCCCTCGTGACGCCCTCCCGGGCAGGCTTCGACCCTGCGTCCACGTCACAACGGACACCGAGATCGTTCGCCCGACAGATCGACCCACACTCATGCCACCGGTTCAAGGAGCAGGTCCTCTTCCCGTCGTGGCAGGCGAGGGCCGAGGTGCTGCATTACTGCGGTGTCGTTGCGATGTCGCCCGATCCCGACGATCCCGAGACCATGCTCCGACAGGTCGAGGCTGCGAAGAACCAGGAGCGTGTCGTTGACGAGCGCTTGGACCCCTACTCGGGACGCTTCTTCCCGCGGGAGCCCCGGACGGAGAAGCTGGCGCTCCTCATCCGGCAGGAGAAGGGCGTCGAGAACATTGTCCGCACGAGGAGCTGGGAGATGGTCAAGCAGCGCTGCGGGGAGTCTGTCGACACGTGGGAGGAGGCCTTTACTACGTGGAAAACGAGGCTGCCCAGTGAGAGCACAGAGGCCCATCTGCGGTGACGACGTGGTGAGAAGAAACGAGAGGCGTCTTCTCACATGTACACCACTGTATCTAGCATACTGTAAAGATAGATCATCTCAGCCATCATTCGACCTCTTAGCCTTTCGTGTCCTACATCACCCGCATGCTGCAGTTGTGCGTGACCAGCCTTGTGCTGTGCCAGCCATCAGCCGGTGCCACCCCGCCATGAGATGCGCAGCAGCGGCAATTGGCGCCAAGCGCCCGCCGCAGAGCGGGACCCGCCCACGAGGCCAGGGCGGGCCCAGAGCCAGATTGTGCCGTACCCGAACCCTCGATTGTGTTAGTTTTGGTCTGACGACTTGCTTCTGCCAGCATCCAACCCTTTCATACAGCTAGCTGCACCGGTTTGTCGCAACAGGCAGACCATACGGCCCCACGCCCCAACACAGCATAGCAACACAGCAGAAGCTACTCAGAGTGTCCCTCCAGCTGCCACAGCCGCCACAGCCTTGCTACCTTCTGCCCAGGTGTCCCGTGCCGCCTTGTTGCGCCCGTAAGGTACGCAGACTCTGAGCCCGCGGCCCTCAGTCCTCGCGTGCTCACCAGCTGACGTGCCCCAGGTTGTTTTCTTTCCTGCTGCTTTGATCCAGACAGACGCAGACAGACGACAGTCGACAGACGACAGAGGACAGACGCAGACGGACGCAGAAGACACAGACAAGCGACCGACCACTTTTCACAATGCCTCAGCCGCTGCCGTCAAAGGAGGCGTCCCTCTTCCGGACCCTCGTGCGCAACTACGACGACAAGCAGTACAAGCGCGGAATCAAGAATGCCGACATCATCCTCAAGAAGCACCCCAAGCATGGCGACACGCAGGCCATGAAGGCCCTCATCCTCAACTCGCAGGGCAAGACGGACGAGGCCTTTGCGCTCGGCAAGGTCGCCCTCATGGCCGACATGAAGTCTCACATTTGCTGGCACGTCTACGGCCTGCTGTGGAGGGCCGTCCGCAAGTACGACGAGGCCATCAAAGCGTACAAGCAGGCCCTCGCCATCGACCCCGACTCGGCCCAGATCCTGCGCGACCTCGCCCTGCTGCAGATGCAGACGCGCGACTACCCGGGCTACGTCCAGAGCCGCATCACCATGCTGCAGGCCAAGTCCCAGCTGATCCAGAACTGGACCGCGCTGGCCGTGGCCCACCACCTCAACGGCGACCTGCCCGCCGCCGAAAAGGTCATCAACATGTACGAGAGCACCCTCAAGACGACGCCGTCGAGCCGCGACATTGAGCACTCCGAGGTCGTCATGTACAAGAACAGGCTCATCGCCGAGCAGGGCGAGTACGAGCGCGCCCTCGAGCACCTCCAGACCGCCGCCAAGTCGAGCCTCGACAGGCTCGCCGTCATGGAGAAGCGCGCCGAGTACCTCGCGAGGCTCGACAAGAGGGACGACGCCGCCGACGCCTACCGGGCCCTCATCAACCGCAACCCCGACCACACCGAGTATTACGCCAAGCTGGAGGGGGCCCTGGCTCTCGACTCGACCGAGGCGAGGAAGCAGATCTACGACGACTTTGCCGCCAAGCACCCGCGCTCCGACGCGCCCCGCCGCCTGCCGCTCAACTTTCTGACCGGCGACGACTTCAAGACGGCCGCCAAGGCGTACCTGACGTCGGCACTCAGCAAGGGCGTGCCGTCGACCTTTGCCAACCTGAAGCACCTCTACTCGGACGCGTCCAAGAAGGAGACGCTCGCCGCCCTCGTGCACGACTACATCAAGTCGGACGCCGACAGGCCCGCCAACGGCGACCGCCACCAAGGGCGAGGCCCGCCGCCCTGTACTACCT